CAAAATCTTGTGATGAAATTGGAAAATGATTGAGAAAGTTGAATGGATTGGTGTAAATAGTTACAGAAATATTGATGAATCCATATTTTTACTGATATTTTAGCATAATTCTAGCTCATTTAATAAGGAAAATATATGAAGAAAGCAGAAAAGCTCAGAAAAAGAGAATGATTGAAAGTTTTATTTCAATTTGTAGTTATTTTCGCATTTGTAGAAATTATGCTTAGTTCTTAAGGAATTTATCTTGTTTTTGAAGGAATAATCTGAGCAAAAGTCATGGAAATGGATTATCAATGGAAAGGAAGAGGAAGAACGGCAATGTTGGACTCCAAAATACAAGAATTATGGGATGTAGGCTGGGAGTGATCACTATTGTTAGTGAAAGTGATCATTCCAGAGCCTAAATGAGAAAAGGAGCCTGTGCGTTATCACTTTCGCCAGCGAAAGTGAACGTTCCAGAGAAGACTCTATTCCTGAGGAGCTGCGCGTTGTCACTTTCGCCAGCGAAAGTGAGCGTTCCAGAGGCACTTGTATCAGGACAGCTTGCGCGTGGTTACTATTATTCACGAAAGTGATCACGCGCAGCCCTTGACCTCCTGCGTTGCCACTATTCTGAATAAAAGTGAATGTTCCAGAGAAGCCTTCAACTCTGCAAGTTGCGCGTGGTTACTCTTGCTCTTGAAAGTGAACACGCGCACTACATAAAGCTTCTGCGTGGTTACTCTTGTGAAGAAAAGTGACAACACGCAGAACTGGGGTTTCTATATATACATGATTGAAGCGCGAAAACCGGGATCGGTTGCTCATTTTCTGTTTTGTTAGTTAGATTCTCGTTGAGAGAGAGTGGAGAGAAGACTGGGGTCGAAGCTTGAAGCTCCAAGAAGAAGGATCGGATTGGAGCTCGTGGCCATGGCTGCTTTGCATTCTTCTTCTTCTTCTTCTTTTTCTTTCTCTGTTTTTGTTGAAATGTGTGCTTAATTTCCCATAGTTAAGGGTTTATGGAACTCGAATTGATGTATTGATTCGACTTTATCTTCTGAACTTTAAGTTCTTGGATTAATTGAGTTGTTAATTCTGCTTTTCATACAATCTCTGAATGGAAATTCATTTGATTAATCAAAAGGAATCTTTACCAATGGGAATTGGATTGTTTGCTCCGATCTGAATTGGCAACCAGAGTTTAGGGATTTCTTAGGGATAAGGAGACCTAATTCTGCAATCTTATAGTTCTAATTCTTAATGCAACCTGAAATTGAATCTCACCTAAGGGATTAGGGAGGTTTAGTGGATTGTTAGGGCCAATGAGTTAAGGAATTAACCTTTGGCTAGATATATGTGAAACTGATTGTCAATTATTCAATTGCTTGAATGTTCAGAGGATTTAATTGGATTGATATTGATATTCTTGTGAAGTAAATTCCTAACTATCCTTCATTGCTATTTCATTTCTTCACAAATCTTATACTCTGTTTCTCTGCAAGTTCTTTGCTTTATATGCTTTGGTTTATTGCTGTTATATGTTACAAATCTCCTTCAAAAATTCGTATGGCTCAAATGGTTATAATTCTGTGAAGTGGTACTTGAAACCTAAATTCCCTGTGGAGACAATATTCTGATCTTAAATTACTCATCACTTGCTGCAATCCTAGTGCACTTGCTAGTGTTAGATTGCGAACAACAAGTTTTTGGCGCCGTTGCCGGGGAAATTAGAGTTTCAATATCATTAGTAACATAAGAATAGCTAGATTGAGTATTTTGTTCTCTGAATTTCTGTAGTAGTAGTCTGTAGTTAGACATTTTGTCCATTCTGCATAATTCTGCAACTTTTAAACTTGTGTTTCAATTATTTTACTGATATTTGCTGCATAATTCTCGTGGTGTAGTTCTGAATACTAACGTGTAGTTTACTTTTGCTTCATTTTGAATTGTATATGCGTGGCAAAAACAAAAACAAATCAACTCTAGTCTTTGATCCTGACATAGACATAACCTTAAGAAGATTGAGAAAAGAGTCTAGAGCAGAAAAAGCCATAGGGAGTGATAGTGAGTTAGAAGCTGTCCATTCTCCAGAATCTCAGAGTAATCCTAGAGTGAAAAGAACATCTACACCCTTGAGACAACCAAATCCAGCAATAGAAATGGAAGAACAGAACAGATTTAGAACATTAGGGGATTATGCTATTCCTAACAAGCAAGGTTTTAACTCTTCTATAATCAGGCCAACTATTCAAGCCAACCATTTTGAGATCAAACCTGCCTTGTTACACTTAGTCCAACAAGATCAGTTTGCTAGAGGAAATTCTGATGATCCTAACTTACATATTTCAAATTTTCTATAGCTATGTGACACCATAAGAATAAATGGGGTTAGTGAAGAAGCCATCAGACTAAGACTATTTCCTTTTTCCTTGAGAGATAGAGCAAAATGCTGGTTACAAGCTCAACCACAAGGAAGCATCACAACCTGGACAGAACTTGTGAATAAGTTTTTAACCAAGTACTTCCCTCCATCCAAAGCTGTTAAGCTGAGAGGAGAAATTACATCCTTTGTGCAGCAAGAAGGAGAATCATTGTATGAAGCTTGGGAAAGATACAAAGAATTGCTAAGAAGGTGTCCACATCATTGTATTCCAGATTGGATGCAATTGGAAACTTTTTATAATGGGATGAATGCAGTAACAAGAACAATGGTTGATGCTGCTGCTGGAGGTTCATTAAATACAAAGTCCTTAGAAGAAGCTCAAAGGATTATTGACATGATGGCATCTTCAGTGTATTAGAATTCAAACTCAAGGAATCAAGGAAGAAACTTTGGTCATGAAGCTAAAGTTCTGGAAACTTTTCTTGCACAAAATCAGCTACAAAATCAAATGTTTTCAGAACAATTAGCTGCCTTAACACAACAAATCAACAATCTGCAAACAGGGAGTATGCCTACCAGTCAGCTAAGTTGTGATTTTTGTGGAGGAAACCATGCAAATGGTGCATATGAGGCATCCACAAGTGAACCACAAGAGCAAGTGAATTATATGAATAATTTTCAGAGACAACAACCATCATATCCCCCTGGATTTCAATTTTCAAATAATAGAACTCAGCAGTATTCTAATTGGAATAATCAATATTCTGCTGCAAAGAATTCTAATTCAAATTTGCCTTTTTCTAATGCAGGTCCAGCAACACAACAGCCTTATTTTCAGAGGAATTCATCCACTCAACCTCAAGGAAATCAAAAATTTTCCAGACCTATGAATGAAAGGTTGACTGAGATGGAAGAGACTATGCTGCAATTCATGAAGGTGACTTAAACAAGCTTCAAAAACCAAGAAGCCTCCATGAAGAAACTAGAAACACAGATCGGACAAATAGCTGAACAAATATCAAGCAGGGATGAAGGAAGATTTCCAAGCAACACAGTAATCAATCCTAAAGAGCAATGTCAAGCCATAACTACAAGGAGTGGAGCTGTAGTTGCAAGCCCTAAACCAGCAGAAAAGAAAGTGAATGATGCAGCAGAAAGAAACATTGAACAAGATCTGCAACAAGGAAATTTTAAACTATTGAAGAAAGACCATTCAGAAGAAAAAGACAAAGTTCCCATGAATTCTGAAAGGAAAACCAAAAAGCAACTCTTTGAGGAAGCTTGTAAGCCAATAGACCCAGAAAAATACAAGAGGCTACCTTATCCTCAAAGAGTCCAAAATCCTAAACAAGAGGAACAATTTGAAAGGTTTATGAATGTCTTTTAGAAATTACAAATTAACATTCCTTTTGCAGAAGCTTTGGAGCAAATGCCTTCATATGCAAAGTTCATGAAAGAACTACTTTCCAGAAAAAGGAAGCTAGAGCATGACAAAACAGTACCTTTGACAGAGGAGTGCAGTGCCATTCTCAAGAGAAAGCTTCCTCAAAAGTTGAAAGATCCTGGATCATTTAGCATTCCTTGTGAAATAGAAAACTGCACTGTGGGAAGAGCATTGTGTGACTTGGGAGCAAGCATAAATCTGATGCCATTAGCTGTTCTACAGAAACTTGGCATAGAGGAAGTGAAGCCTACCAACATTACACTGCAGCTAGCTGATAGATCATACACTTATCCATATGGAGTTGTTGAAGATTTATTAGTTAAAGTTGACAAGTTCATTTTTCCTGCATATTTTGTGATTCTGGACATGGAAGTGGATTCTAACATTCCTTTGATCCTAGGGAGGCCATTTCTTGCAACTGGAAGAGCTTTAATAGATGTGCAAAAAGGTGAACTTATGCTTCGAGTTCAAGATGAGAAGGTAATATTTAATGTGTTTGAAGCTTTAAAATATTCAGTTGAAGATAATACATGTATGAAGATAGATATACAGGATACTTTCATTACACAACATTATATGAAAGAATTTGATGAAATTGTTGTGTTAGAAGAGATAATATCTGTAGGGAATGACAAATCTGAAACTTTGAATGAAGAAGATATCATGGAAATGCAGCAGCAATTAGAAGCTCTGCCAATCCAAAAACCTACAGAAAATTTAGTGAAAGAAGAGCTGAAAAAGGATGATAAAGAAGAGGAAAGGCAAAGGCTAGAACTGAAACAACTCCCTTCACACTTGCGGTATGCATTTCTGGATGAGAATCATGAAAATCCAGTCATCATCAACAATGAACTTAAGGAAGAACAAGAGGAAAAATTGCTCAGAATTTTGAGAGAACACAAATCTGCAATTGGCTGGAGTATTGCAGATCTGAAAGGTATAAATCCCTCATTTTGTAAGCACAGAATTTTATTTGAAGAGAATGTTAAACCTGTTGTGCAGACAAAGGAGGTTAAACCCAGCCATGAAAGAGGTAGTTAAAAAAGAGGTCATAAAGCTGTTAGATGCAGGAATAATATACCCTATTTCTGATAGCAATTGGGTAAGTCCAGTCCAAGTTGTTCCAAAGAAAGGTGGTATGACAGTTGTACCTAATGAAAAGAATGAACTTGTCCCTACTAGGACTTTGACTGGATGGAGAATGTGCATAGACTATAGAAAATTAAATGATGCAACCAGAAAAGACCATTTTCCACTACCATTTGCAGATCAAATGTTAGAAAGACTTGCTGGACATTCATTTTATTGTTTTCTTGATGGGTATTCAGGATATAATCAAATAGCTGTAGATCCTTTAGATCAAGAGAAAACTGCATTTACATGTCCATTTGGAGTCTTTGCATATAGGAGAATGCCATTTGGTTTGTGTAATGCCCCTGCCACTTTTCAAAGATGCATGCTTTCTATTTTTTTTGATATGGTAGAAAACATCATAGAAGTGTTCATGGACGATTTCTCTGTTTTTGGTGATTCTTTTGATGATTGTTTAGCTAATCTATCCACTGTTTTGCAGAGATGTCAAGATACTAACCTTGTGTTAAATTGGGAGAAGTGCCATTTCATGGTACAAGAAGGCATTGTCCTTGGTCACAAAATTTCAGAGAAGGGAATGGAGGTGGACCAAGCTAAAATAGAAGTCATTAGTAAATTGCCTCCACCTGTCAATGTTAAGGGAGTTAGAAGTTTTTTAGGACATGCTGGTTTTTATAGAAGATTCATAAAAGATTTTTCCAAGATTGCTAAACCCTTGAGTAATTTACTTGTAAAAGATGCAGATTTCATATTTGATGATAATTGTTTGCATGCATTTTCTGTTTTAAAAGAGAAACTGATTTCTGCACCTATTCTTGCAAAACCAGATTGGAAATTACCTTTTGAACTTATGTGTGATGCAAGTGATAGTGCAGTGGGTGCTGTTTTAGGACAGAGGAAAGATAGGAAATTACATGCTATCTATTATTCAAGCAAAGTGTTAAATCCTGCACAAGTGAATTACACAACAACAGAAAAAGAACTTTTAGCTGTTGTACATGCTTTTGATAAGTTCAGATCATATTTAATGGGTTCAAAAGTGATTGTATACACTGATCATGCTGCTCTTAAATATCTTTTGACAAAACAGGATGCAAAGCCCAGATTATTAAGATGGATTCTACTCCTCCAAGAATTTGAGCTAGAGATCAAAGACAAAAAAGGGAAAGAAAACAGTGTTGCTGACCACTTGTCAAGATTACCACTTGAAGTCATACCATTTGGAGTGGAACAAATTAAAGAAGAATTTCCAGATGAAAGCCTATTCAAGATTGAATCACAGCCCTGGTTTGCTGATATAGCCAACTTTAAAGCTACACACCATGTTCCAAATTGGATGAATTGGCAGCAGAGAAAAAAATTCTTCCATGATAGCAAATATTATGTTTGGGAAGATCCACTACTGTTCAAAATTGGAATAGATGGATTGCTGAGAAGGTGTATACCAGAGGAAGAGCAGCAAGATGTTTTGTGGCATTGCCACAGTTCAGAATATGGAGGACATCATGGAAGTTCAAGAACAGCAGCAAAAGTTTTGCAATCTGGTCTTTTCTGGCCAACTTTGTTCAAAGATGCTAAGAACTATGTGGAAAGGTGTGATAGATGCCAAAGAATGGGGAATATATCTAGAAAACATGAGATGCCATTACAAAATATACTTGAAGTAGAATTGTTTGACATGTGGGGAATAGACTTCATGGGTCCTTTCCCTACCTCATTCTCGAATGAGTACATGCTTGTAGCAGTGGACTATGTGTCCAAATGGGTGGAAGCAATTCCTACCAGAAACAATGATGCTAAGACTGTTATTGCATTTATCAAAAAGAACATTTTTTCAAGATTTGGAGTGCCCAGAATTCTGATAAGTGATGGAGGAAGCCATTTCTGCAACAAATATCTAGAATCAGTCCTAGAGAAGTATGGAGTAAAGCATAGAATAGCTACACCCTATCACCCTCAAACAAGTGGTCAAGTGGAGGTTTCCAACAGAGAAATAAAACATATTTTGGAGAAAATAGTTAGTAGTTCAAGGAAGGACTGGTCTAAGAAAGTGGATGATGCTTTGTGGGCATACAGGACAGCTTTCAAGACACCAATTGGCATGTCTCCTTATCAATTAGTATATGGAAAAGCCTGCCATTTACCAGTGGAACTAGAACATAAAGCTTTTTGGGCTGTGAAATGGTTGAATTTTGATCAAGTGAGTGCAGGAAATAAAAGATTGTTACAGCTGCATGAATTAGACGAGTTTAGACTCAATGCATATGAAAATGCCAACATGTATAAGGAAAGGACCAAAAAGCTGCATGACAAGTTTATTCTAAAAAGAGATATAAAACCTGGGCAGTCTGTTTTGCTTTTTAATTCAAGGTTGAGATTGTTTTCAGGGAAATTAAAATCTAAGTGGTCTGGACCTTTTGTGGTAAAAGAAGTATTTCCATATGGTGCTGTACTAATAGCAGATCCAAAGGATGGGAGAGAGTTCAAGGTGAATGGACAAAGACTAAAAATCTATCATGGAGGTCAAATTGAGAAAGTCCAAGTGTGCTTGAAATTGGTTCCTCTTGAGTGAGGAACAACTAATGTCAAGCTAGTGACATTAAAGAAGCGCTTTGTGAGAGGCAACTCACATTTCTAACCCAATTTAAGTTTTCTACATTAATTTTGAATTAACAGTATTCACAAAAGTCAAAATCTGAACTTTTCATCTTGGTTACCTTGCTGAATTTGATGTTTGGAATAAATTTGGTGGCTGAAACAAGAATGCAGATTGAAATTAATTAGAATGCTTAAAGTTCTTGTACAGTCTGAATAATAGTTATCAAATTCTGCAAATTCTCTGCAAAATACAAAGTTCTGCATCATACTCATCATATTCTGTAATTTTGATGCAAAAGATAAATTTTGAAGCATGCTAAATCTGTCATTTGTGGCAAATCTGATAAATGCAATTGGACTTCATATTATAATGTGTTATGGAAAAGTCAGAATTGCATTGTGAATATGTTAAGTAGAAATTCTGCAGAATTCAGCCTTGGATGAATGTTGCATATGTAATTAAAGGTGAACATGATGAGGGAAATAGGTATTTTATATGGTGAGTGTGTATTGGAATGATTATGATTTGTTAAGTGAGCCAATTAAAGTTTGGAGAACTTGGATTGATGAAAGGAATCACTCTTTTGCAGGAAAGCAATCACGCAGAGATGGAATTCTAAGATTTCCCCTCTGGAACAATCACTCTCGCTGATGAGAGTGATAACGTAGAAACTGACTGGGAAACACAGCTCTCTGGAACAATCACTCTCGCTGATGAGAGTGATAACGCAGAGGCAGATGAGAAAAACACACTCTCTAGATCACTTCCTTTCCTTGTCAAGAGTGATCACGCGCAGGTAAGTATGGAATATTTCATAGCGCGTTACTCCTTTTACTGATAAAAGTAACTACGCTCAAGCAATAAGCTTGCGCGTTATCACTTTGCCCAGCAATAGTGATAACGCGCATTGCATTCAAAATTTTCAAGTTCTCTGGAACACTCACTCTGTTCGACAAGAGTGACAACGCAGAATTTTATTCACAAGGGAACGTTCACTTCACTTAAAAAGTGGGCACGTGCACACGCGTGACCCCAAACTCCATATAAAGGAACCACGCTCACATCCATTTAAACCTAAATCCCCATTTCCCTCTGAAATTTCTCTGACTTTCAATCTTTCGTGAAGCAACCAGCAAGCATTTGTTCCTTTTTTTTCACTATCATTCACATTTCTGAAGCTCAAGGTACGTTCTCTGCATTCTCTGAAATTGTATTTAGGGTTTTTCTTTGCTGCAACTCTGGAAAAATGTCAAAAATGGCAAATGGGGAAATATCTTGAGCGTAATTGATATAAGGAACTTTAAATACTGTGAATAGGTTTTCAAAGTCATTCAATCTCCTCTGTTAACATATTCACATCTGCATTATGCGAAAAATTTGAACATGACTTTGAAAGAAATAGAAATACTCCAGTTGCCATCAACGAAAATACTCCTTGCATGCAATATTTGAATGTTGATGTCTGAACTGAGTCGTATGGAATGAGTTACTGTTGTATATTGCACTGCATGATTGTACAGATACCATACTGATAGTCCTGCATTAAACTGATCTTTAGTCTTTGATGATAATGAATGAGTGCATTGTCCTAATTGTATGTGATTCAAAGAAACAATAGGCAATATTCTGGATGAATTTTACTGACAGAAGAAAATTTCTTTTAGGAACCATTAGTAGTTGAATTTGGTTGAAAATTTTGATTCTTTTTCTGCATTCTTGGTGAAATTGTGAACTTTGAGTTTACAAATTATGAAGGCCAGTTTAAAATCCCCTGAATATGGTTTGATTAATTTTGTACCTAAGTTCTGGTATATCTGAAAAGTTAAGAGAGCATGTAAAAAAATATGTTGATGACCTATAATAGCATCTCTGTGTTAACCTGATGTGCTTTGAGAGTGTGCACTCTAAACTACAAATTTAAAGGTTTAACCAATTTTGACTGTGATTGCTTAGTAATTTGCAATAGTGCTTGTGTGTTGATATGATTACATTCTCATGACAGCAACTGATTGTAAATAGATACATACTGCAAGTTGGAATTCTGCACATGGATTGATTGAAATTATCTAGTAAAGAGATGTATACTGTCACAATTCTGTGTCATGAATTTTAAACTGTCAAATTACTTGCTTGTTTTTGCAGCCACTTCAAAATGGTCAGAACTTCTTTGAATACACCAGTTGGACCTTCTAAGAAGACCAAAGCTGGATCTGCCAGCAACACTCCAAGAAGGAGATCTATCAGGAATATGCAAGCTGGAACAGCCAGGAATTATTCAACCACTAAAAGAGCAAGAACTGATGGTGTCTCACCTTCCTCACCCATTGAAATTGCTAACCCTCCTCAGCCAAGTGTAACCACACCTGCAACCTCTTCACCACCTCAGCCGACCAGAAGAAATGTGCCTTCTACCTCTACCCCTACTGATCATGATCCAAGATTCAGGAGCATTGCTCATGAAAACTATTTCAAGGCAAATATTCTGAGGAGGAAGATTGTCCTAGATAGAGCCTTTGAAATTGCTGAAGGTAACTACCTTGAGTACTCAGAAGAAATTCAGAAAAGGGGATGGGACAACTTCTGCTCCTTGGCTGATAATGGTTGGAGAGAAATTACACAGGAGTTTTATGCAAATGCAATGTGTTGTTCGCAATCTAACACTAGCAAGTGCACTAGGATTGCAGCAAGTGATTAGTAAATTTAAGATCAGAATATCGTCTCCACAGGGAATTTAGATTTCAAGTACCACTTCACAGAATTATAACTATTTGAGCCATACGAATTTTGGAAGGAGATTTGTAACATATAACAGCAATAAACCAAAGCAATTAAAGCAAAGAACTTGCAGAGAAACAGAGTATTGATGAATCCACTTTTTATTATATTTTTACTTGCCTTTTTTATGCTTCTTGATAAAAAAAATGGACTTAGATAGTGAAAATAATATAGAAATCACATTTTGAATAAATATCATAGGTTTATTAATTTTTGGATAATTTGCATTTAATTACATAGATATAGATTGCAATTTTAATTATCTTGATGATTTTGCAGAATGCCCAAGTTAAATTTGAGAAATCTTGGTCCTTAGATGAAAGTTGCCCCCAAAGTAGCTACTTTGAGGAGTAAAAGTGGCAACTACAGCAAGCATGGGCATTAAAGGTTCCAAAGTAGCCACTTTCAAGTCCAAAAGTGGCAACTCCAGAAGCTCCAGGGACGCCAATTTTGAAGCATGATGCGCGTGGTTACTATGGGCTCTCATAGTAGCTACGCGCATCCAAAGTAGTTACTTTGAAGACCAAAAGTGGCAACTTCAGAAGCCCCTGGACGCTGATTTTAAAGCCTTCCTGCGCGTGGTTACTATGGGCTCTCATAGTAGCTACGCCCATCCAAAGTAGCTACTTTCAGCACAAATAGTAGCAACTCCAGAGAAGCGGCATTCCTTGCATTCTGCGCGTGGACACTTTCAAGGCCCAAAGTGGACACTTTCAAAGGCAAAAGTGGACACTTTGGTGACATGTCATCCACTATAAATAGATTTTAGGAATTAGGGTACGGGACTTTTGACACTTTACACAATTTTTCTTTGCCAAATTAGGATAATTTCTTACGACATTGGAGTCTTGGGTGACAGCCAAGGATCCTCTATAGGTTTTAATTTCCAATTTCTCCTTTGATTGTTGTTGGATTTACATTAATGATGTTTACGTTCTTGCATTTCTTTCTCTCATTCGTGAAGCCCATCCATATAGAGGGCTAAACCTCCTTGTAATTCCTAGTCAATGCACATGAATCTTGAATTCTGGGGATTAATTGCAATACAAATCTTTCTTTTCTTGAATTTATTAACCCCAATCTCTGAATGAAATGGAATTTGCATGAAGGGAACATTGCTTAATGAACCCTAATTTACCTAACGAAATTCTAATTCAAAATTGCTTAATTTTGGTTAATCCTTGAGGTTGCTTAATCTTAAGGGTAGAGATTGAAGCCCATTAAGATGCTTAATTTTAATTAGGATGTTAAAGTTAGTCTTCGCTTGTTAGATTAACTTAATTTAAGGGAAAGAAAGGGGATTATTGAATCATTTAGAAGAATAATGATAGAACTCATTGCTTGACTAAGGATTACTCATTTTAATTGATTGAATTTCATTAATTTACATTTCGTTCTTGTTTAAAATCCGGAAATTGACAAACCTCCCCCCAATTTACTTGCTTTAAAATACATGTTCACACTTGTTCGATGTATGTTCTCAACCAAAAATTCCTTGGAGACGACCTAGGATAACACCCTAGTACTGCATTCATTTCTTTGCATATTTGATGAGGATTAACGACAATCTTTTGCATGACGAGTAGCTCAAATATCGTTTCATCAAGTATAAGATTTGTGATGAAATGAAATAGCAATGAAAGATAGTTAGGAATTTACTTCACAAGAATATCAATATCAATCCAATTAAATCCTCTGAACATTCAAGCAATTGAATAATTGACAATCAGTTTCACATATATCTAGCCAAAGGTTAATTCCTTAACTCATTGACCCTAACAATCCACTAAACCTCCCTAATCCCTTAGGTGAGATTCAATTTCAGGTTGCATTAAGAATTAGAACTATAAGATTGCAGAATTAGGTCTCCTTATCCCTAAGAAATCCCTAAACTCTGGTTGCCAATTCAGATCAGAGCAAACAATCCAATTCCCATTGGTAAAGATTCCTCTTGATTAATCAAATGAATTTCCATTCAGAGATTGCATGAAAAGCAGAATTAACAACTCAATTAATCCAAGAACTTAAAGTTCAGAAGATAAAGTTGAATCAATACATCAATTCGAGTTCCATAAACCCCTAACTATAGGAAATTAAGCACACATTGCAACAAAAACAGAGAAAGAAGAAGAAGAAGATGAAGAAGAATGCAGAGCAG